CTTCTAGGAACTTGCTTCATCACGCGGCCCCCTCGCAACCCGACATAATAATTCCCGGCGAAATGAAGAGGAAATCCGCGGGAACTGCAAGGGCCCGGTGAGTAACGGCCGTTTGCCGTTGCTGTCTTAATTTCTTCCACCATCTTCGTTCCGCGCGGCGTCCAGCGACTGCGAGTTTTCGCGCTGACTCCCATCTTCATCTTGTCTTTCATCTTGTATGAAGTTAATTACATTTTTATGAGATCCCATCCTTCTTCTTTAACGGCTCCCCGTAACGGCCGCGGCGTTTCAGCGCGGATCTCGCTTAACGGAACGTTCCTCCTCGCGAGCGATCCTCCATTTCAACTCCTCTCGAGATATTTTACATGCTCGTTGTATTATTACTCGATTCATTTGAGCCATTCAGTGTCCGTTTCTCGTCGAGCTCCTCCGCTTTCGCTTTATAACCGTTCGTTCTATACATCGATCTTCTACTCGACAGGGTATTTAATTATTTATTCATCGTTGAATATGCAACAGCTTTCGTATTTCTGTTGTGTCCACCGACTTCGACCTGGTTTTATTGCCGGATTGATACTGTAATGTTGAAGTCGGCCGATAGAATGGGTGAAGTGAATACGGATAATCAGAGATTTGAGGGTTTACTGACTGATGACGAGGCTTTCATTGATGATACATTATGGGATAGAGTGGCCTTTGTGCGGCCTTTGTAGCCAGCTTCGTCGGGAGTCAATTGACACGCCGATAACAGGAACAATAACGAGTTTATCGCGCGCAAGGATTACTGGGAGAAATTAATTACTGGTATTGTAATAAAATAATCAAATGGTGTGTACTTAATGAGCTTCCGGTGACTTGCTATGATTATACTCTCGTTCATGCTTTACCGATCAAAGACTTATTCACTGATCAAACCACTCTTAATCGACGTATTCCAAAAATACACTCAACACAAACTATATAATCCACCGATCCATTAACTCATTTATTAATCCACTCACACAATCAAACCTCCTTATAAAGAGTAATTCAGATAATTCGGTTTCAAAGTAAGTAGTACTTTCCATTAAGCCTGTTCCAACATCTTTACACGAGGATCGCCGTTGTCTCCAAACCGACACGAGTAGCAGAAGAATTTAATTAAGAAATTCCATTTACATTCCAAGTCGAATCGTCATTAAACCAGAATGATTTAATTGTCCCCGTTGAGGAGCGTTTATAGCTCGAGTTCGAGGCGCCAGGCCAAAAGAGTGCGCCGGTTAAAAAGA